TGAGGCAGATTTTGAGGGAACCCTTCTGAGAAGGGCCTGCTAGTAGCCAGAGGGGCCCAACAAGGGGTAGGTGTGGGAGGCTGCTTTTGCTGCTCCCCTCCACTCAACTGCCCTGGAGAGAAGGGTATCGGGGGTAATTTGGGGGCTAGGAGCTGCCGCAGAAGCTGCCTGCCCCTCCTCCTTTCCCGTTTTACTCCAGGTTACTGAGCTCCTCTTCCGAGCCGCTGTTAAGACTTCAGGCTCCCAGCCACAAATTCCAAGCCTCCAACACCAGCAGCATATTTCTGTTTTCTGTGGAGTCCTCTCCAGCATGTGGGGTGGCGGCAGCAGCAGCAGCAGCAGCTGGGGCTGCAGAGGGGGTGGCTGTGAGGGGCTTGAGTACAGAAAGCAACTTACATTAACAGTCTTGACCTCAGGCCCTGCCAGCTGCCTAAGCCCCAGAGCCGCCAGCTGCTAGTCCAGCCACCGAGCCCCAGATCCACTCAAGTAGCAGCCCTGACAGCAAGACCTTAGGGTCCAGAGCAAGTTGTGTCCAGAGGCACAGCAGTTCTCAAGGTCCAGGCTCTGGGACTGCCTGTGTATCCTCCTCCTCCAAGCAAAATGACAATTTTGCATGACAACATGGTCTTTGGAACCTAACTGTGTCAATAAGTAAGAAGGGGGTGTACTACAACCAGTATTAATAAAATGTAAATTTCCTGATGATTCCCCAGGCTTTTCTTCTGAGGCACTCTAGATAGATTTGAACCATCAACTTTTTGGTTAACAGCCTAGCACTTAACTGTCTGTACTACCCAGGGACTCTTTTTTTATATATGAAATTATCAAACAGTAAAATCTGAAAGATTTAAATCTATCCCCCTCTACCCTTCAAAGATTAGTTTGGTTTGTCAGCCACAAAAGATGAAACTTAATTTCATAAAATTAAAGAAAATAAAAAACTCTCCATTGTATAGACATAAGATTAGAAATCTTTTTTCCTAATACAACTTAATTTTTAAAATCTTTTAATTTCCTCAAAGGAATATTTAGAAAATTCTTAAAATCTACATCTAAAGTGATAGTCTATTCAGGACACTAAGAAAAGTAATTTAGCAAGTTGATAAAAACTGTATGTACATAAGCTACAAAGGAAAAGAAGAGAAATACTGAGTATAAAATGAGGTCAAATTTTTAAGAAATTTTTTTTTAAAGCCAACTTATACATTAAAAGATCAACCAATCTTGTGGAGCTCTGGAGGCTAGATGAACCCTTGAAATGATCGCCCTGAGATAACTTCAAACTTTAAACCAAAAATATTCCCTGAATCAACAAGACAGAAAATAACAAATGCTGGCGAGGTTGTGGAGAGATTGGGACTCTCATACACTGCTGGTGGGACTGTAAAATGGTACAACCATTGTGGAAAGCAGTATGGCGATTCCTTCAAAAGTTGGAAATACAAATACCATTTGACCCAACCATCCCATTACTAGGTATATACCCTAAAGAAGTGAGAGCCATAACAAGAACAGATATATGCACGCCGATGTTCATCGCAGCACTATTTACAATAGCCAAAACTTGGAAACAACCTAGATGTCCAACAACTGAGGAATGGATAACCAAACTTTGGTACATTCACACAATGGAATACTATGCAACGCTAAAGAATAATGTAGAATCTGCAGAACACCGCATAACGTGGATGAACTTGGAGGACATTATGCTGAGCGAAATAAGTCAGTCACAAAAGGACAAATATTGTATTAGTCCGTTATTGTAAAAATTAAGGAAATGTTTATATATTGGAGGACATTTTCTTTGTTGGTTACCAGGGGTGGGAGGGAAGGGGAGAGGAGGGAACGCTGTTAGATAGATAGAGATAAATATTGATTTGGGTGAAGAGAAGGGCAATGTACCAAATGTGAGTGACCAATATGGCAGCATTGAGGATGAGAAAGACAGAGAGAGTTACATGGGCAGTACAAACAACAAATATGAACCCCTTTGTAAATACAATACTGAGTTGTTAATGAAAGCAAACATGGGTATAGGGACGGATAGATAGGTGAACAAGCTAAACAATTATGTATGTCTAAATGCAGAGTGTATCCAAGATCATATACAGGGTTGGCAGACAATGGGCCTCTCGAAGAGTATGAAGGGATGGACACTGGGAGGAGGTAACTATGGGGAGGAAGTGGGAGGGGAGCTGCTGCATTGTAAATTTTGGTCAATGACATGAGACAAAGTATATGTGAACTGCTGTATGAAAAGTGAATTTACTCTGTAAATCTTCACCCAAATCCTAAAAAAAAAAAAAAAAATATTCCCTGAAGTCTTCTTAACACCAAATAACAGTTTACCTTAATTAGCAAAAAACATCTGTCTTCACAGAGAAGTACAAAAGAGGTACAGACAACAAAGATAAACACACATACAATGCTGCACTATCAGTGACAGCAAATATTAATCTACAGGTAGACAGATGGGTAGACATGCTGAACGATCAGCTATGTCTGGGCAAAAGGAAATATACCCATGAACATATACAAGTTTGGCAGATAGTATTTCTACATACGTATTCATATGTGCTGTGAGAATGTCCAGATAAATAGAACAGTGCACAAAGTTAGGATAACTTCTTAGACAAAGTTAATTACCCTGACAGAGTGAGTAACTCGTCAGACCTGTGGGCTCGGAACCATGGTCACGGGGGACATCAAGCTCAATTGGCATAACATGTTGTTATTGTTGTTATGTGCCGTCGAGTCAGTCCCAACTCATAGCGACCCCTCCTTGGGTTTCCAAGGCGGTATCATTACGGAAGTAGATTGCCCCACCTTCTGAGGAGTGGCTGGTGGATTTGAACCACCAGTCTTCTAGTTAGCAGTCAAGTGCCTTAGGCACTATCCTACCGGAGCTCCCTGGCATAACATAGTACACAAAAATATTGTTCTACATCCTACTTTGGTGAATAGTGACTGGGGTCTTAAAAGCTTTCAAGTGGTAATCTAGATGCAACAATGGGTCTCTGCTTGTCCAGAGCAAAGAAGGATGAAGAAAACTAAAGACGCATGGAAACAATTAGTCCAAGGTACTAGTGGGCCTTGCGAACCTCAGCCTGCATGACCGTGAGATGAGAACAACTAGATGGTGCCATGCTACCACTGTCAACTGTTTGGAAAAGGGTCAGTGCAGGAGACTTTTAGACAGAATGGGAGAACAATGTGGAACAAAACTCAAAATCATAAAAAAGACCTGCCTTACTGGTCTGATAGAGCCTGGTGAGACCCCCCAAGACCATGACTCCTAGTTGGCCTTCAGAAATGGAATTTAACTCACTTTCATGGTTTCTAGCCAAACAACAAGCATATAGGGTGAAGATTTACATCAGGTAGATACACTTCCTTAGAATGATCATGGGAGAAACAGTAAGGCAGTATTTGCACAGGAAAATTGAGCAGGAAAGAAGGACACAGGGAAGAGGTAAACCAAAGGGAGGAAGCGGGAAGAGAACTGTTACATGATGGGGACTACAATCAATGCCATGAAACAAATGTGCATGAACTGCTATATGGAAAATGAATTTGCTCCATAAACTTTCATCCAGATCACAATAAAAATTAAGGAAAAAAAATTGTCTGCACTCTTTTACAATCCATCTATATGGCATCCAAAGGAGTTCTGCTGGTGCAGCGGTGAAGGCATCTCAGCTGCTAACCAAAAGTTAGGCAGTTCAAACCTATCGTCCACTCCATGGGAGAAAGATGAGGCAGTCTGCTTTCCTAAAGATTTACAGCCTTGGAAACCCTAGGGGCCAGTTCTGTTCTGTCCTACAGAGTTGCTATGAGTCAGAATCCACTCGATGGCAGTGGGTATATGGGATCAAACTGACAACAGCAACTCATAAGATTAGATAGGAAATTTAGAGGGCAGCAAGTTTACGTTAATAGGGGAAAAACAACTTGGAAAGAAACGGGTGAGAACAGTTAGACAGCCCAAATAATGTAATCAACGTCACTGAATTACACATGTAGAAATTGTAGTCCTGCTGTGTATATTCAACAACAAAAATAAAACTATAAAGGAAAAAAATTTTAAAAGATCAACCCATCCAAGTTATTATTCATTAAAACTTCATCAAAATCACGTAATACATTTAACTCAGATTTTAATAGGGGTCTCAGCTTAAATATTTCCACCTACATTTTTTCTCTTGTCAACCTAAACTTCTACCATAGAAGTTTTTAAAACATTTCTTGGTTTTTCCATAAGCTTCTCCTCAAAACAGAACAACATCAACAACAACATTATTTCCAAGTTAAAGTTTCACATTGTTTTTCTCAAAATTTAATTTACTATATTGACAGAATTAAAGTCACTCATGAAATATTTCTAAATATTACTAAGTTTTAAGTTTACAGTCTTTTTTCATCTTCTTCTAAATCTCATCTTTTTGTAGCACTACACTTAAACAAGGTGCTCTGGTAGCACAGCACTAGTCTCTAACTAAAAAGCAGGCAGTTTAAACCCATCAGACACTCCATGGGAGTCAGATGAGGCAGTTTGCTTCCCTAAAGATTTACAGCCTTATAGATCCTACGGGCCAGTTAGTTATACTCTTTTCTATAGTAAGTATCACTATAAGGCAATTTGACAGTGGGCTTGTATTTTTGTTTTATAGTCAAAGCACATTTTAGTAAACATAAAAAACACATCAATATTTTAAAAGAATTAAGTTATAAATATTACACATAAGCACACTATTTCCTTTAAGGGCTAAAATATTCCATGGTGAATTGTCATACATGAAATTAATAATGGAGCAAAATAAAAAAAAGCTTGACAATGATTTTAAAAAACTGTATTACACCTTGATAACACAGAATGAAAACAAATCTAATCACATACCTGTATAATGAGCCCTATGGTCACTTTATTAAAATGTACACCTTGAGATAATCTCTAATGAAACAATCCACAGTATTTCAAATTGCAAAGAAATGATTCCTACCTTGCCTACTTCTCTTTCTAAGTCGACATACTCCCGGCTAGGTGTTTGTCGTTGTTCTCCCTGCCAGCTGGCCGGAAAAAACTGGAGAGACAGATTGGTTCCTGTGGCCACAAAAGCCTTTTAGAAAAATCAATACAAACAGGATCAGGAGCAGGACATTACATAAATTATGCAGGCAGTCATTTATTTTTACATCAGTTTATGTCTAAAGCCAGGCAGCACAGAGAATACTTAAAAGTAAAAAACATGTGCTCATCATTTTTCTAAAGTATTAAGTTACAAACATCTGATTCCATTTTGAGGACATTTTCCATTGGCTGCTTAAATATAAAATCAGACATGGAATCAATACTTTCTTTCAGGTCATTTTTTGCTGATGTTAGGATTGCTCATTGCTGATGTCTCACCAGAAGCTACCATCTCTGCATTTAAAAACTCCTATTTTTAAGTAAGAAAATCTCTGAAGAACTAGACCTTGAATTTTAAAGCATATCACAACTGAAAGCTGTAGAAATGAGACAATTTAGTTCCTGATTGCCCCTGCTCTAAGAAACACCATGCTCTAAACTCCACTAAAAAATACACTTGGGACTCTATCTCCTGCAATAAATCACTTATTATCATGTGACAGTACCTTTCATCTAAAACCCTGGATAATTCAAATATATGCATTTTCTAAAATATGACTTTAAGAGAACTGGATCTGACTACAACCAAAGAGAAAAGTGTTCATTTAATATTTATAAGATATGGATGACACAGCTCAACAGACAGAACAATCTAAAACCATTTCAATAAAGTGTCATGCTATGTAGTCCTTGGGCAATTTAATTCTGTATTAATGCCCCCCCCCACATAAAAAAAAATAAAGAAAACTGCCTCTGTTCTGGAGGGAAGTCCAGAAATAATTAAGTTAGAAAAAAAAAAAGACTTTTGAAAATACATTTTTATTTGTTTCCAAGCACAGTCTTCATCTCAAAGCAAGGGGTTCACATTTTGAGCAGTTTATTGAAAGCCATCAGCTGGTTCAGCTATCTCCCAGTTCCCTCCAACCTTTACTTGCACTTTTAGCTTAAGTTTAAATATCAATCAAGTGAGGTGAAATAAATCAACAAAAGCACCACTAGCAAATGAAATACACAGACTCTAGAGGCAACTGTCCAGTCTGTGTGACTTGGGGCAAATTAATTAACCTCTCTATGCCTTAGTTTCTTCACAATTTAGATTTGTAAAATGCTGAGAACAGTACTCACTGAGTAAACGCTATTTAAGTGTCTTCTAAATTAAGTAAGAAATCACTTTAAATTTGATAAGAGAGCCAAGTTTTTCAGCCCCAACTAATGACATTCTCAGAGCAGAATGGTGGCAGATAAGCAAGAGATGCAGCCCATAAATGACTGTCCTGTGCCAAGAGTCCTTAGCTGCTAACAAAGCCTCCCTGACCAGTGTACCCCAAACAGCTCTGTGCTAAGGAAAGACAGTCTGCAGATTTCATTACCTCACCTCCTGTCTCAATGCCAACCTCGGAAGAGATTTCCTGCTTCATCACTTTATGTCCATTATCTCACCAAGATTTCTCTGAAACAGGCATAGTAAAAACAGATCGCTCTCAAAGAGCAGTGCCTAAACTTAGTTGACCTCAGAATTCCTTTTTAAAAACAATGGAATGTCTACATATACTAAGAGTTGAGGAGATTTGGTTCCAAAAACTAAAAATGCTCAACTGTTATAATGTCTATACCTACAATTTCCAGATTGTCCCAACTATATTTTACAGGCTTCATAATTAATAAAACTGTTTATCTTGTGCCAATCCAACATATCTTTTACCATCCAATTTTCAGGATTAAAAAATATACTAGCTTTTACTATCTCACAGTAGAGACACCATGTCTTTCATACAAATTTTTTTTTTCTTTCATTACTCATTAGTGTTAAAGGCATCTCCAATACTCTTGCTATTATAAGAACATGTAAGAGGAATAAATCAGGTTCTACCAAATAGATTTTACCTCTCACAGCCTCTGAGGCTGTAATAAAGAGTCTAAGTTTTTTTTTTTACAGTTAAGGAGAGATGAGCATCATAACCTTTAACATGCTTTCACACCTATGTATAAAATAAATTCTTCATAAATGTCACTTACATGTTAAAGAGATGTTCAAGGAAAAAAAGGACAGTTAGGAAGGAAATGGGTTGGGAATTGTTTTGGGAACCATGGCTATTCTTACCATATAGGACTACTGTCAGAGTAGAGGCATAAAAACACCACTCTCCAAAAACCTATTTTCCACAGTCAAATAAATAGAAGCCACAGCCTGTTAGTCAGTCATAGGATAAATTTCAGGCATTAAGCACCCAATAAATCTAAATAATCAAGTACCTATCACACAAAAGGCATTATGCAAAGTACCTTCAAGGAAGGGAGAAATACCTACACATATAGATAGATAGATGTACACTTTTGTGAATATATTAAGAACCACTGAACAATACACTTTAAAGGGATATATTTTATGGTGTAAGTCACATTGTATCTCGATAAAAAAATAAACTGTCTATAAAGGAAGTAGATGAGTAATTTTTCATATATATATATATATATATATATATACACACACACACACACACACACACACAGTTCTGTGGTCTCCACCCTCTAGGAACTAATAATCCTATAATTTAAATGCAGGTAGAAAGAGAGGAAACGGTGAAATTCCTCCCCAGATACAAATAATTACATCATTCAACAAATTAAAATGTGTTGTCTTAAATGCAAATCTTACACAGAATTCAACCTACCTTCTTTAATCTCTAATACTTGTCAGAAATAAAGAACTTATTAAAATCTGTAGGATTAGATATTCAGAAAGGGGAGAATGTGTAGAGTATCTGACTCACCCCTGGAAAGAAATCTGTAACAAATATAAACATCCATAACACTGCTATAATATTGTCGCAACATTATAAAACACCAATTCAGATACACTGTGTATCAAATTATGCCCTTAATTCATAAGGACAAGCAGAAAATCTAAAATGACAGAAAATACCCAATAGCTATGTTTTACTAGGTTTCTAATATATCTGTTAAAAAATACCAAGAGTACTTCGTATCCCACCTTTTACAATTACATCAATCACCTCCAGGAAATCCATTAGTCAAGTACACCATCCACCTTTTGCAAAATGAAATCCAGGCAGAGGATGATACAGTGACTAGACCAACCAGATTGTTCCCCCACTCAGTGTCTTACACATTTGAATCATGTAACTCAAGAAACTTGGGCAGCAGCTAAGAGCTGGAGATTTCTTTCCTAACAGGCTTTTTTTTTTTTTTTTTTCATTTTTTTTTTTTTTAATTAGGATTTGGGTGAAGATTTACAGAGTAAATTCACTTTTCATACAGCAGTTCACATATACTTTGTCTCATGTCATTGACCAAAATTTACAATGCAGCAGCTCCCCACCCACTTCCTCCCCATAGTTACCTCCTCCCAGTGTCCATCCCTTCATACTCTTCTGCACCCTGAGCTATCTCCCTGTGCATAAGCAGCCCTTCCTTCTCCCATGATTGTTCTCTCCAGGGCGTGTGTCTACTTGAGGTAAATGCCTAACAGGCTTTTGTTGTTGTTGTTGTTATTTGCCATCGAGCCCCTACTCATAGCGACCCCTCCTTGGGTTTCCCAGGCAGTATCACTACAGAAGCAGATTGCCCATCTTCCTTCGGTGGAGTGGCTGGTGGGTTTGAACCGCCAGCCTTCTGGTCAGCAGTCAAGTGCTTTAGGCACTTAGTAAACAAAAATATTCCAGAGATTCTCAGTACCCATAATACAATTCTAGAAAGTCTTCATTTTAAACATCAAAATTCTTTAAAAATAAACTGATTTGGTGAGGAGCTCTGAAATTAGACAGTGATCATGGTGATGATGGCACACCTTTATGAATATATTACGAACCACTGAACCATACATTTTAGAGGGGTATATTTTATGGCATGTGACTTATATCTGAACAAAAAATAAACTGTCTATAAAGGAAGTAGGAGCAGTAATTTTTCTAATATATCTTCTTACTGTTAACCCATCCCAAACTGTATTACAGCTTCAAGTCTTTACAAATGCCATGGGCTCAAATCACAGAGTACATTACTATAGGATTCCAGAGTAGAATGCAAACCTTTTTTTTTTTTAAATACCCTCTTTTCTTTAGTTTTTCCTACTGACTCTTCGGCTTCATCATCCCCTCTCTTCATGAGCACCTCCGACAGGACAAACCAAAAGATGAGAGGAAATAAGACACTTGGAATTTTTTCAAAATAACGTTTGGTGGAAGCAAGACAGAGCTACCACACACACACAAACCAAGATCAACTGTGGTTTTTGCATATCCACCTAACTCTTTAGGAACTGCTGCACTTAAAGGGGTATGTTTCTCAGGTTTGAAAAGAGAAAACCGTGGTTTCTTTCTCACCCTCCAAAGGCTTCCCGTCCTAAGAAAGACAGCACGCTTTACAGCTAACTGATGGAGATTTATTCTCACTACCCTGGGAGAAAAGGTGGCTTCATGCATATATTTACCAACAACTCTAACTTCTAAGAAGCAAACTACCGCCTAGTAGCCAGAACCCTGAATGAAGCCCAATTCATTTTTCGCTAATGTGTGCTTTCTTCCCACCAATAATAATACCCTGAGCCCTTCATCAGAGCCACAGCCTGTACGATGCCCTTTCCTTGTGTAATTTGGTTCCGACTTGAGTTTTCCTCGTGGTAATGCGTTCGCAGATTCTTGTCTGGGAAACATAAGCCACCCACAGAGGCGACAAGGAAAGCGCCTCTTCGCGAAGACGCGGCCCGCCAAGGTTTAGTTTCGCATTTTGAATCCCGAGTAGGAAGTGAGAGGCGCCCGCTCAGTTCCGGGAGCCGCGGCGTCGGCGGCGCGGTCCGAAGCCGGCCTGGGCCGCGCAACAAGTGAGCCGCGCGCGCTCCGGTCGCCCGCGCGCCCAGGCCCCAGAGACTTACGATTTCCGAGCGGCCGTCGCGGCAGGCATTCTGGAAGCGCGTCTGGCGCTCCTCGTGGGGCCGGTCCCTGAAGCCCGTGTACTTAATCTGCAAGGCAAAGACGGCCCGAAATCAGAAGCCAAATCCGCGGCGTCGCCCGCACGCCTGCCCACCCCGCGCGGCGCCGATAAGGGCAAGCAGAGTCTGCGCGCAGACGGCTGCCCGGGCGAGATTGCCCCTGTGCGGACGAGGCGGCCTGGGGCACCGGCGGGCCGCGCTGCTCAAACTTTTCTCCGCCCGGGCCCACTCGGGGCGCACTGCGGCCTCCGCGCTGCCCGCCCGCCTCACCTCACACTCGCGGCTCAGCTTCCTGAAGAACTCCTCGTTCTCGAACTTGCTTCTCTGGTCTGGCACGACGCGCGGCATCTTCCCGCCCTGAAGCCGCGCCGGCCGGCCGGACTCAAGGCTTGTGCGGGCACCAGCTAGCCGGCTCCGCGATGACCGAATGACCGCCCACCCGCGACGCCCTGACTCCCTATTCCCTTTGTTTCAGGCGCCCGCCCGCCCGCGTGGGCTCCCGCTCCGGGGAGTCTAAGGCGCCGCAGCCCGCTCGAGCCCAGCCCACGTCGCCGCTGCCGCCTCAGCCGTTGCCTACCGCCCGCGCAGAGCCAGTTCTCGCCGCCCCCAGCCGCCGCCGCCGCCGCCACTTCCTCTCACCGCCCACCTCGCGCGCCCGCCGGCCCCGCCCCCGCTGGTCCCACCCCGCCTCCTCGCGCGCCCGCCCGCTCCAAACTCTGGCAAACAAGACGCACCATTCACAACTCTGCGGCCCGCGCCGCGCATGCGCCGCCCGCCCTCCTGCTACGGGGCTGCGGGGCTGCGACGGACCTGTGCGCCCCGCGTGGTGGGGCAGTTTCCTCCTGGCCGACCCGCGGGCAACTTGATGTTATTGAAAAGCTCTGTGGGGATCTGCTTGGCCCTTGAAGGCTGAGAGCGCTGAGCGCAGGCCTTCTTGCCGCCCTTTGTCTGTGGTCTGGCACTTCTGGAATCCTCTGCACAGAGTAACCCCAGATTGTCACTTGAACACGAGGGAGCAAAAGTCCTTAAAGACTTTTAACCCAAATTCCACGTAAAGAGTGTGGGCTGTGCGCATCAAACACTGAAGGTGGAAGCAGACCAAAGAATCCAACTGAATCCGCATCATGGTGGAGAGGTTATGGCTAGTGGAGCAGGATGAGCCTGAAATAAGATCCTGTTCAGTTCCCCTACCTGCCTGCTGGGGGCCTTAAATAATGGACCTTTTAGCCTCAGTTTCTCTATTTCCAAAATGCAGACACTCAACCTGGCAGTGGGTGAGAGACTTTATATGTATCTAGCACAAAATGCCACTACCCGATTATCAGTTTGTTGTATTGTGGCTTGCAATGCTGGAAGATAGGCCACCAGTATTTCAAATACCATCAGGGTTACTCATGGTGGGCAGGTTTCAGAGGGAACTTCCAGACTAAGACAGACTAGGAAGAAAAGTCTGGCAATCTACTTTTGAAATTTAAAAACAAAACAAAACAAACTCAGTGCCATCAAGTTGATTCCAACTCTTAGCAATCCTCACTGGGTTTCCAAAGCTGTAAATCTTTACGGAAGTAGATTGTCTCATCTTCCCCCCTTGGAGCAGCTAGTGGTTTTTGAAAGCATACTTTCTGGTTAGCAGCCCAATGTCTTTCCCACAGTGCTACCAGAGTTCCTTGTAAGATCATCGTTGTTGCTAGGTGCCATCAAGTCATCTCCGACTCATAGCAAACCTATGTACAGCAGAACAAAACACTGCCCTGTCCTGGGCTAGCCCCATGATCCTTGCCATACCTGAGCCCATCATTGCAGCCACTGTGTCAATCCATCTTGTTGAGTGTCTTCCCTTTTTTTTTTGCTGACCCTCCACTTTACCAAGCATGATATCCTTTTCCAGGAAATGGTCCCTTCTGACAACATGACCAAAGTAGGTGAGACAAAGTCTGGCCATTCTCACTTTCCAGGAACATTCCAGCTGCACTTCTTCCAGGGCAGATTTGTTAGTTCTTTTAGCAGTCCACGGTACTTTCAGCGTTCTTCACTAACACAACTCAAAAGCATCCATTCTTCTTTGGTCTTCCTTATTCATTGTCCAGCTCTCACATGCATACGAGATGATTGAAAATATCATGGTTTGTGTCAGGTGCACCTTAACCTTCAAGGAAATATCTTTGCTCTTCAGCACTTGAAAGAGGTCTTTTGCAGCAGATTTGCCCAATGGTATATGACGTCTGATATCTTGACTGATGCTACCGTTGGTGTTGATTGTATACCCAAGTAATATGAAGTCTTTGACAACTTCAATCATCTCTCCATTTATCGTGATGCTGCGTATTGGTCTAGTTGTGAGGATTTTTGTTTCCTTTGTATTGAGGTGTAATCCATACTGCAGACCGTAGTCTTCTATCTTCATCAGTAAGTGCTCAAGTCATCCTCACTTTCAGCAAGCAAAGTTGTGTCATTTGCATATGGCAGGTTATTAATGAGTCTTCCTCCAATCCTGATGCCACATTCTTCATATAGTCCAGCTTCTCGGATTATTTGCTTAGCATGCAGATTGAATAAGTATGACGAAAGGATACAGCCCAGGCACACTCCCTTCTTGATTGTAAACCATGCAGTGTCCCCTTGTTCTGTTCAAATGACAGCCTTCTTCCTGGTCTATGTACAGGTTCCTCATGAGCACAATTAAATGTTCTGGAATTCCTGTTCTTCTCAATGTTATCCATAACTTGTTATGATCTACACAATCAAATGCTTTTGCATAGTCAATAAAACACAAGTAAACATCTTTCTGGCATTTTGCTTTGATCCAGGATCCATCTAACATCAGCAATGATATCCCTTGTTCCATGTCCTCTTCTGAGTCCAGCTTGCATTTCTGGAAGTTCTCTGTCAATATACTGCTGTGACCATTTTTGAATTATCCTCAGTAAGATTTTACTTGCATGAGATATTAATGATATTGTTTGATAATTTCCACATTCTGTGCAATCACCTCTCTTTGGGATGGGTACAAATATGGATCTCTTCTAGTCAGTTGGCCAGGTAGCTGTCTTCCAAATCTCTTAGCATAGCTGAGTGAGTGCCTCCAGTGCAGCATCTGTTTGTTGAAACATCTCAATGGGTATTTCATCAATTGCTGGAGCCTTGTTTTTCACCAATTCCTTCAATGTCCTTCAGCTTGTACATCTTCCTTCAATACCATTAGCTATTGATCATATGCCACCACCTGAAATGGATGAACATCGACCAATTCTTTTTGGTATACTGACTCTGTGTATTCCTTCCATCTTCTTTTGATATTTCCTGCATCATTCAGTATATTGCCCACAGAATCTTTCAATACTGCAACTCACAGCTTAATTTTTTCAGTTCTTTCAGCTTGAGAAATGCTGTGTGTTCTTCTAGTGTTCTACTGTAAGATCATGTGGGCTAAACGGTCAGATAGACACTATGAGCTTTGAGGAGAAAAGGTCAGGGTCAAGACAAATCCCTTCTAGGTCCCAGGGAGCCTGGCCGTGGGAGCGGGAGAGCAGAGAAGCGCACGGCATTCTGATGGTCAGCTTCACTGGGCCACAGGGATGGGGAAAGATGTCCCGCGGGAAAGGAATGGGAAAGTCTGCCAGGCAGACTCAGAACAGCAGCACCACAGACATCCTTTGGCAACTCCAGGCCACAGGGTAACCCACGCTCAACGTTGTCTAGCATCCAACTGGCCAGGCCGACTGGGAAACAAGCCGCAGGCTGAAGGAGGCCATCTCCTCACCTGACCTCTGTAAGCCTTTTTTTTTTTTTTTTTTTAATTGTTGTTAATTTTTTTTTTTTTACATATTTAAAAAAATGGATTAAAGAAAATTAATAAAGGACATTTTTATCCATGCTGGGTATGTTTAGCTCTGTTCTAATAGCTGTCAGAGCAAGTTTGGATTGTTCCAGGTACCAACCTGTGCAGGGATTTACTAAGAGTCTGCTTTTCTTGGGGCCACAGATAAAAGCCCAAGGGTGTCTTCTAGCTGCCTTGAAACACCTTCTCCCAGAAAACTTACTGACTTCTCTGAAGTTCTGTGCCTAACACATTACTTTCCTAAGTGTTCAGACAGCCTGGAGCTTCTTCTGAGCATCTTCCTACTCTCTTGGGTGGGCGGCTCCTGCAGGACCCCCAGGCTGACCTTACATGGGTAAGCAGAGACTGCACAATAATGCTAACCAAGGAGTGGGGAATCCTCAGTCGTCTACCCCAACTGTGAAGCTATGAGCTGGGTGCTTTTATGCCACAGTTCCATTTAAGGCCTTCCTTTTCCCATGTGACAAAGAGAAAGCTGAAGAGTTAAGTAAGTGACCATAGGGTAGTCAAGATCCTGACTTATCAAAGATAACAGAGTGGATAAACTTTGGGGCCCATGTTTTCATTCATTCCTCACCACAATGCTGCTGACCCTATTCCACAGATAAGGAAATTGAGGCTCAGAAAGGCTGAATGACTTGTCCAGGGCTATCCAGATAGTAAGTGCTTGACTCCAGTGTCATGCTCTTAACCAGGTCCCTGCTGAGAGAGAAGCCAGAAGTCCTGCCTATCTCCATAGCTGAACTGAGAGGTCATGGAGAGTTGGGGCCAGGGTCACTCCTGCTGGAGCACCCCACCATGCTCTCAGAAGTCCCCAGCAGGCTGAATGAAGGGGTCCAGGGTAGGCCTTGTGGCTGAATGTGGCTCTTGTCCTTGTGCATCCCTAATCCTAAGTCCAACTGTTTGTCCCTCCTCTGCTTGGAAGGTCAAGGCCTAGACATCCTGCCTTCCTACGTCTGGCAGAAATGATGGTTTCATCCAGGTCTGGGGCCAGCCACCACCCTCACCCACCTCCCTTCATGGAGGGGGTGGGCTCCCCTCAGGGCTCTGTACATCAAGTACATTTTTTCTAAGGAAACAGTTTCCCTTCAGTGACTGAAGAAATATTGTACCATCTTAAAGCTGAAATATGATCTGGAGCCACAAATGAGACTTGAGGGGGGTTGGAAAGAAGGGAAATGAGTGGCTGGCACAGCGCCTAAAGCCCTGGCCCCATCCAGCTTCTAGTTTTTGCAAGGAGACGGGCCTAAGTCCAGGATGCGGGTGTCCTCTGCCTGTGTGAGGCACTTTCCTGGGCCCTAAAGAATTTTTTTTTTTTTTTTAATTGACATACCATAAACCTCACCCCCTAGGCCCTAAAGAATTTTTCCTCCGGGTGGGTTCGCCCAGATTAGTGCCCCTGCACCCCTCCCCCAACAGCTCAGCCATCCCGAAGGAAGAGGGAAGCAGAGAGGCCAGTTTACCCAGAATAGCATTTCTTCAGTGTTGGGATCAATAAACCCGTTTGCTTAAAAGGAACCAGA